TTCATGTACGCTTTCAAAATATTGTCTGGCTTTTCACCTACATTCCACATTTGGTCAACATGTCAGATTAAAAAAACCCAGAAGAAAAGAAAAGTAGAAATCACAACAAATATGGACACATTTTCACCCTGATTTTATGGGTTTAGTTATTGGTTAGAGTTTGATGATATTTCCATTCTCTTTTGGTGGGATGGAAGGATCAAAATTTCATAGACGTTGGTTGACCAACCCATGCTAAAATGCACCATAGGGCTAAGAGACTGTGCTGGGTAAAACGGCACTATATGAATGGCAGAGACCCATTAGTAGTGAAAGCTTGCTGCTTTTCCGAAGCTCTAACAGCCTAAACGAACCCTGCAAACATGCTCCTATCTGTTTAACCACACACACAGACTATTGGGCCACTGATTTTGCTGCAATCAACTAAAAGACACAGCCATGATGCATCCTGCCCTCTCAGCACTCCATAGCATGGTAGTGTGCCTTGCTTGCCTGGTATTTCAGCTCTGCTCTTAGCTCCTCTTTGCTTCTTGCTGATGGGGCCAGGGTCTGGTGGAGTGGGGGAGCGAGGGCTGCATCTGTAGCTCTTTTGGGGAGAGTCTCAATAGAAGTTTCTTTGTGCTGTAAGCTGATCTGAGAGCCTAGCAGAAGGTTTTAGCCGGGATGAAGAATTCGGAGGCGGGCTTCTAAACTTTTCGATGCCTAAGCCGCGTGAGCATATGGCCTTAAATCCCATAAGCTTGGGCACTTAGTGGAGATACAATAGCACTTGACGTGCCCCTCCAGCAAATGCTGCCGTAATGGAAGGTGTGTGGTTGCTTCCACGGACTTTGCCGTTTTCGGCTACATGGCAAATGTCCACCTCGCACCGGCGGCTACAGAATTACCGATACCCCTGGGTGCCGGTTTGTTCAGCCCTTCCACGCTGGGAGAAACGCAACGCTGCGAGATGCCGGCTTGGAGGGTTTCGAGGAGATAAGTCCTAATTTGTTTCCAGCACAGCTGAGAGCTCCCTCCCGTACCATGCCCCTCCTTCCCTGCCCCAAGTAAGCCAGCAAAGGATTGAAAGCATCTGTCTGCACTGCACCCCCCACCACCTCCATGAAATATGACTGTGGCTCAGGCCGTGAACCTGCAGTGGGTGCTGAGCACCTCGAAATGGCTTGCCGCCCTCTGGACCTCCTAAAAGCAACACTTTGGAAAAGAGCCGATGTTCCCGCGTGTTTCTTTCTGGTTACTTGTTGAACAAGCAGTTTGCTGCAGGGGCTTGTAGAATAACGCTTCCCATCTCCTCCCCCTCGCTTGTCTTGGGGATGGAGGAGGATTATCCTTTACATTACCCAGTCCATTAACTATTGTGCCTATAAAAACACGGAGTCTGTCACAGTTGCTTCTGGCTCTGTTCCCTCCTGCCCATCAACTTGATCGAAGATAATGTGTAATGGGATATCCCGGCACGGCGTGCTGTTGACACTAGGAAGAAAGAATCCAGGGCTGAAGTGCCACTCAGGTTACTGATGAGCTGGAAAATCCACCCACTCATGAGGGTGGTGACAGCTTTGTATACAAACTCTTGCTGCCCATGATATTGAGATAGCAGCGGCTGAAAGTCTGTAAGTACTTGATAGGCAGGGCTTTGACATGAGCCAACAGGGCAAGGGGATGGATGGTGTCGCTGGAAGCCAGAGGGGTCACCTCTTTTTTAAACACTGATGCTGGAGCATAAGTGGAATAAGTTATCGGCTTAAGATAAATCAAATGGGATATCTAATAACCACGCAACTCATCCTTTTTGTCAGTCAGCACAAAAGGGCACATGCAAAGGCCGAACATGCATGCATCACTGTGTGCACCCATTCCTCTTACAAGCCACCCAGGGTACGTCAAGCAGCGGGTGGGTGAGCTCTGGCTACCGTTTACAAAAAAGGACAGGGTAGACATGCATCTTTATAGACTAACTAAATATGATATATATATAGAGAGAAAGTGCAAGCGTTCATGAACCCAAGTTTATTTAAGCAGATACCATATATAAGCAGAATGGTCCAGAAGCCCTGGCACTGAATTAACAGTAAGGAGACATGGGCTTTATGCAGGGATTTATCCCTGACTTGTCGCTTGACCTTAAAGGGCTCCTTTTACCCCTGCTTTACTTTGTCTGTTCTGTTCACAAAAGCTCTCTGGCAGATTTTTCTCTCATTGTGCATCTGCGCTAATCGAAACATTTCCCAATCGCATTGTTTTTCCAATGGAAAGCACAGTCTCAGAAAAAAAATGAGATTTTTCTCCACAAATGTAGTTTACCTGTTGGGGAACACTGAAACCTTTTATTGTAGGTTTGGTGACTCCAAATTGGAATATTTTGCTACTTGAACTGATCTGAAAAAGTTCATTTCAAATCAATCCAACACAGCATGTGATGTCAGTCCAAAGCAATTGCCATTGTTTAAACACAGTTTTTCAAAATTTCTGTATCAAAACATAAAATAAATCAATACATATTTCCACATTTTGCCCAAGTTTGGGATGGGGATAATTGATGAAATGCCAGAATTTCCCACAGGTGAGAAACTCCAAATGGCACACAGCTGTCATGTTTGTACAGTGCCCAGTACCACAAACCCTGATCTTGGTTATGACTTCCATCAACTGTTATACGAATAAGCTTGCCTTGCTTCTGAAAGCGTTATGGATAAGCTTATAGTGTCGAGAAAGGGATGGAGGTGCTGGGACACTATGGGCCGTTTAGACTGCTAGCTTTTCTGCGGCAGAAACCGTGATGATTTTTGGTTAATATACAGAATAGAGGACAGCATAGAGATGCTAAATACTATTCATCTTAACAGAACTAGAAAGAATACAGAGAGGAAAGAGGTGGTACCGGTTGTGCCTTGAGGACTCCCACCAAGTCCCTGAAGGGTCACCTTCATGGTTTGGACATGTCCGTCAGTGCCAGTCTCTCCAAAAAGCTATTGTTTTGAATACGTCTTCCAAATTGACGTGCCATCTTGACTAAGGAGTTGGCTAGTTGTAGACTCAAGGCGTAAGACCCCTTAGGGGTCTTTAAAAGGAGGCGTGATAACAACCTAGTTGGGGTCATTTGAGCTTAACCTTAGTAGGGGTCATAAGAGCCCTGTATTCACACCTGCCCAGGGCAGGGGGTCGCATTAGATGATCTGCTCAGGTCCCCTCTGACCCCACTTCTACGACTCTATGAATAAGGACTCAGGAAAGTTTAAGGTGAAAACTCAAGGCCAAGGCTTAGACGGTGATACCAGTCCATGAGGTTGTGATAATGGATCAATAATAATAATAGTATAAAAGCAGGCCAAAAAGCAGGGCTCATCAGTGCAGAGGCTGTTATGTGATGCCAGGACTGTTACTATCTTCAGATGAGCTATTAAGCCAAAGTCTCTGCTGCCCGTCTCAGGTATCCATCTAGGAGGAAGTTAAAGACCGCACAGCACATTTCCAAAAGAGCAGATCATCACTCACATGTCCTGGTCAATGTTTCCTCACTCAACAAAGGCAGGTTCAAATGTCCAAGGCTGCGGTGTCTGAACCGAATTCCATTGTGCTCTATTCCATGTCTAAACAAGGTGAATGCCCAACAGTCTTGGACTGCGGATAATATGTTTTCTGCACAGCTGTCTCTGTCTGTAGACACAGGCATGTTCCAGATGAAAATCCTTAGGCGTATCCTGCAAACAAAGCCACAACAACAACAAGGAACCCTAATAAACCCTCGGAGATTAGCGCTGTGTGGATAACAACCGTGCGTGGCTAAAAAGTAAATGATCCCAAACCTGGTAACTGCAAAGAGCCAGGACCTAGGCATGATGAGAGAAGGATGTTCTATTCTCATCACCAAATTTAAGAATAGACATGGACATCGGGAGATCTGTGAATGCGTTGACTCTATGACCTGTCCCTTAAACCCTAAGTAATGAGCCAAAACGCCCCACCAATATTTGTAGGTCAGGCCTGTTATGTTCATCTCAGGGCCTTCAAAAATCAATGACTCCGGCCACATGTG